CGACCTCAGCCCGCGGGCGGCCCAGTGCAGAATAGCGGGCGCAGGTGGGCGGCGGTGCGCATGCGCGCGCCTCGAACCCCCATTCGCTGCCGCTAAGCAATACCCGCACCCGAACTGACCATTCCGGGAGCGCCTCCACCGCGGTCCCCCTGAGAGTCGCGAGCGAAGCTCTTCTTAAAGGGCCTTTACCCAAGTCGAGGGGCGCCGCCCGGGCGATGCCTCCCACGTTCATCCGCCTCCTGAAGCTCAGCCGCGGCGCGAGGTCCAGACCTGCAGGGCTCGCCGCTAGAGGTGCCAGATCTGCTCTGGATCCCTGCCGGGGCTGAGGGGAGGCTCCGGGACCGCGCCCTACCCTGGATGTGGGGTCCGCAGCCGCTGCCACCCTGGCAGAGGGGACAAAGTCCATAGGAGCTACACGCCGCGAGGGCGCTGTGTCACCAGAACAGGGCAGGTGACTCCCCAAACCACTAACAGGTTATAAATGCACACCACCCGTAGGAGTGGGGCAGGGATGAGTGACTTTGCGGTCTGCCAGGCTGGAGATTGAACCCTGGGAGCACTGAGCCGCATCCCCACCCTTTATTTATTTACTTACTTAGCCAGAGTCTCACTAAGTTGCCCAGATTGGCCTCGAACTCGGGACCCTCCTGCCTCAGCCTGTCGAGTGGCCACCGCGCTCTGCAGGAGCCAGGTGCTGGAGAGAGTTTACAGGAGCTTCTGGCCTGGATTTGGTCATCAGAGGAGGCTTCACTGAGTAGCAGCTGAAAGGGCAGAGGAAAGAGAAAGGGTGTTTCAGACAGAGAGATCTGTGAGTATAAAGAACTCTGTGTGCAAGGCCACAGGGCTCCTTTGAAGGAAGAAAAGAAAACCAGAGGCGGGAATGTTTTAAAGGGTGCTGAATTTTAGTTGGGGCAGATTAAAAAGCTCTGTAAAGCGATGCACAACAGGTGTCCTGAAAACTGTGCCCTCAAATGGCTAACATCACAAAGTTTGTTGTGTATGTTTTGCCACCAAAAAAAAAAAAAAGAAAAGAAAAAGAAAAAGAGTTTAGAGAATAGAAGAGTGGGACAGGAAGCCTTAGAGAGAAAAGAGGGGTCCACAGTGGAAGGGTTAGGACTGCAGGGAGCAGGTCAGGTTTGCATTTTGTGAAATTCACTTCGGCTTCGAAAGCTGCCTCAGAGAAGCTATGGTGGGACTGGCCAGGAGGCCACTGCGAGAGAGACTGGAGCTGGGACGTGGTGGGGGCAGGGATGGTGGGGCAGAAGGGAAAGAGACCTGGAACCCACAGATCTGGAGAATGCCAGAAGGGACTCCGGAAGAGAAGAGATCACAGGTCTCTGTGAGTTGAGTTTGAGGCACCTTTGAGACTTATGGTTAGGATGCTGTGCTGGTGAGTTTTAGGGGTCATCCTGACTGGCCCTAGGAGTGCCCTGAAAGGTGCGAAAGCATTGTTTATGAAGGTGTCTGTGCAGGAATTTCCATGAGAGTTGGACATTTGAATCCATGGCAGGAAGGAAGATGTGCCCTGCGCCCAGTCTGGATGGGCACCATCCAACCGCTGAGGCAAATGAAAGATAAGCTCACTCTTCCTCTAGAGCTGGGACACTGGTCTTCTGCCCTTGGCATCAAACCCCAGATTACCCAGCACTTTGGCTCTTGACCTTCCCAGCAACACCTGCCCCTAGTACTCAGCCTTGGGCTAAAGTTACACCATCTGCTTCCTTCTTGGATCTGTGGCCGATCCCCCATCCAGATGGACTTCTACCAAACCAGCCACCAGCTCCCCTTGTTGTCCAGCTCGTACGTGGCCTCTGTACTCATGTGGGCCAACTCCACTAATGAATCCCTCTCATGCAGCATAGATGTGCTCTACAGAGTCCCAGCCAATGGAGGACACCACAGCATTGGAACGTGCAGGCTGCAGTTGTTTAGAGCTGGACTTGGGCGAACACAGGACTCACGCAACCAGATAGAAATTACAAGATGAAAGCAGAATTGTGATAAAGTCCAAGATGGCCCCAGGATCATTAGCTCTTGGTGTTCAGGCCCTTGTGGGTGGTCCCCTCCCACACTGGCCCAGGGCCAGCCTGTGTGACAAAGCGATAAGGAATCTGAGTCATAACAGACGCAAAGGAAAAAACCCAGGAGATTCGGGTTTGGTAGAAGAGACTGAATCCTGGCTAGTATAAGTGCTAGGACTAGAAGTGGGAAGAAAATTTGCTGCTAGACTTATAGAGCTGGAGCTTTCAAATGTGGAGCTGTGGGTGCTCTTACTTCTGAATGGCAGAGCTGGGCGGCTCTGGCACCAGAGTGGACTGGCAGCAGGGGGAAGGTATGGCTCCTGAGGTCCTACCCCTCATCCCATCATGGTCACTTTGGCTCCAGGCCACTGTCAGCTTCCAAGACTTTCCTCCCTCCACTCCCAGGACCTCTGCATCACCACAGAAGAGCTCCACTTCTGATTATCTGTAACCTCAGACGCCCTGTCCTTTGATCCCTGACCTGTCCTTTGTCTGTTTTCTGAGTTCTTCCCACTGTTCTCTGGCCTGCAGAAACTTCCAGTCCAGCTGTCCATCTGCTTTCTTCTATTGGTGAATTCCTTTCAGTTGTCACTTCCTTCCCATCAGCTGAAAGCCCAGGGTCCACTGCTCCCACCACATGCTCCATCCCCGGAAGAATCCAACCTTCTGTCTTCCTTGAACCTGCTCCTGGGCCACAAGTACAGCTGAACAAAATCTCACAACCCCGTAGATCACTCCGGGCCATACCGCCAACCTCACTAGGTCCTTAATGCCTTTCTAAATCTTCTGCAAGCCCCCAGATACCCTACCCTTCAACCTTCTTTGCTCTTCTAGGTGCCTCCTTCACCCAAGAAAGAGCAGCCATCAAAGTGATGTCTGTAAGCTGCAACAACTCCTCTTTCCTCCAGCTGCCGCCTTCTTTCTGTGCCCCCTTTGCAGCCAAACATGTAGAATAAGTGGTCCGTTTGAATGCTCCATTGCTTCCCTGGCCAGTTTCTCAGTCCTCTGGAACTCTTGACTTCGGCCTCGCAGCCGACACTACCCTCATCAAGGGCATCGAAGATCCAGTCTTCATGTTGCTTGACCTTTCAATATATCACGGCTGTCCTAGCTTTCCTTTTCAGGTGCTCTTTTTTTCTTCTTAAATTCTCAGACCCAAGACTTCTCTGGGTTTGGTCTCTTTTGCAGCCTCTTTTCCTCTACCACGAGGGAGACCAGCAATTCTCCCTAGGCCATGACTCCAATCAGTTTCTCCATGTGACATTGCTCAGACCTACACCTCTGGCACAGCCTTTGTCCGAGTTTCAGGCCGAGTGGCCAGCCACGACGTCAGCACCCCAATGTGACATCGCAGCCAAGTGTCCATGTCCACCATGGTGCATGACTCTCCGTTCCCGTCCAGCTGCTCCCCACTTTCTACCTCCACAGGTGGCATCGCTAGTCCCTTGGTTGCCCAAGCCAGAAGCCCAGGAGGTCCCTGGCTTCCCTTACGTTTCCCCTTACCAGTCAATCGCCAAGATCCCGCGAGGTCTCCTGTGTCCTTCCAATGCACGCCTTTGTCACTGTGCGCACTCTCTGAACTGCACGCTGGTCGTTGCCTTGTCAACGCGCCTTTCCTTTCTCATTTCATTGCCCTACCTACCTTTCTCCATTTTTCGGCCAGGAAACATCTGCGAGACACTGCTGACTCTGCTTTTCCACCTGAAACCACCCATGGCATCCACTGCTCCTAGGAGAGGCCCAGGCTCTCGGCTCCTGCACAGCCTCCACTTCTCATGGAGACGTCTTCCCCTCGAGCGCTTCCCTGTGTGCCGAACCGAGCCGGCCACCTGCACCTGCGCCACCTCAACACCGTCTTATCTTCTCGTCATCCCGTACTTGTGTGAGCAGGTATGGGGCTGGACAAGGAAGGCACCCTAATCCTATGGTGGTTCTCTGTCCAGTTTTCTGTAGAAACTCTGAGGAATCTACCTGGGCAGGGAGCTTGATGGGTTAACAGTGCAGGCCTGGCTACCAGGAAGTCCTGAGTCCTTCCCAGCTCAGGCACGTCACCCACTTCTCTCATTAGTTTCCTCTCCCATGACGTGAGAACGAAATGACATGAAAGTCGCCGAATACGGGGATGGTGGAAGGAGGGCCGGGCAGAGCAGACGAACCCGCTCTAGATCCCAGCCACCACTCAGGACAGGGAAGCTCCACGCCTCCCCCTGGAGGACTGCAGACTGCCAAGACGTCCTTCTGAACAGTGGCCTTCGTGCACTGTGTGCTTTAGGGAAAACCAGCCTCATTAACACGTCCACCGGGAGGGACTGGAACGCCACAGCCACTTCTGCTGCGGGGCCGAGCAAGTGAGCACAGCTTCCTCCTTGTGTCTTGTAGCAAAACACCTTTGCACTACTGAGATAGTGAGGTTACCTGCAGGGGGCCAGGAAAATGGGAACTTAAACTTGGACCAGTCTTCAAGGCTGTGACACTGAAGGGGCACAGCTGGAGTCAGGAGGACAAGATAGAAAGACTGTGTGGTCGGCAAAGACACCAAGAAGCCAGAGCCAAGAAAAAGATCATGTAAATCAAACCCACGGAGGCAGGGGCGGGCTCCCAGGAGGTAAGGGGCATGTAGAATACTCGCCATGGTAAACTATGTCTTTAGCAGCATAGTAAAAAACCACACCGGAGGGGTACACTTAAGTGATGGTAATGAGCTGTCAGGTGGTGTGGCACAACAGAGACAGCAGGTGCATGGCGGCATTGAGATTGGGTCCCTTCCTACCTCGTAGATGCCATAAAAGCAATAATGCACTCCTTTGTCCTGTCTGGATCAGTCTGGGGTCCCTATCCACCCACAACTATCCCCCTTGTACC